GCGAGAGAGAGCTGCCCCAAAAGCCCGCCATCAACACATCATCTTCCACATCCCTCCCACGCATGTGTAAGATATAGTTTTTACAGGAAAGGAAGATGATAATAGTTCAGATATCAGGCTTGTTGCTGGGAAGCAAATGAGTTAATATTCTTAAAAGCCTAGGCAAGGTTTGATAGGTGCTAGGTGATGTCTGCCTGCCTGCCCTCACTGCATTGACTGTTATCACCTGAATGAGCCCAGCAGCTTTCTCTGTCAACCCAGTTAGAGAGTTTGACAGGTCTGAGAAAGATACACACCAAGCCCAGTCACAAGAGCAGAAGTAGTCAAAGCAGGAAGCAACTTTGAGGCAGAGGGCTCAGGCTCTAGGATGAACAGAAGACGTTGTGCATGAGATTGGCTGGAACTTGTAGAGAAAGGACTTCTGCATCTTAACTTCTTCCCTTGGCAGATTGGATAATGATGGGGAGAAGAAATTCTAGTCCTTATCTCTACTGAGAAGAGATAGAAATGCACATATTCAACTTTCCTTCACTTTCTGGCCCCTGCGTGGTTGGTTCACATCTGTGTCAGCCTGAACTCTCACTTCACACATGAATAGCCCAGCCCCTTCCCCTGCTCCCTGACAGTGGCCACTTACAGCTTTGATTTTTTATTTAGGGGCTACTATTAGCACAATTTGCAGGAGGCTCTCCTGGCGGTGCTCAGAGATGTAAGGATTGAACCAGACCATCCCCCAAGCAATGCATGTTCTTCAGGCCCTCTGAGTTGTCTCCCCAGCCCCTGCCACATACTGAACCTCATTCCTGCTTCTAAGCCTCAGAGAACATGGCTGGAACTTTTACCAAATGAATCAGAATGCACACCGAGATTATACTAATGGAAGCGTAATGAAATATTGAGTCTTTCCATCCGTGTTAGTTAAATATCAGTGTGTAACAAATTACCCTGAAATTCATCAACTTTACACAGGAAACATTGATAATCCCACAGTTTCTATGGTGGGGAATCGGGGTAAAATGTGTTCTCTTACTCAGTCTGTCTGTGAGGGAGCAGTCAGGGGATCAGCCAGGGTCATGTTAAGACTGAGCTGGGGACAGGAACTGTCAAGCAATATCCTGATGGTTGCAGAATGCAGCATCTTATGGGACATTGGAATCAACACATCAGTTTCTCTTTGACTGTTGGTTAGAGGTTACCCTCAGTTCCCTATTTCCTGCTCTTTTCTGGAGGACATACCATGGTGTGGCCTTCTGCTTCATCACAGCAAATGGGTCAGAGAATTCAGGGGAGCAAGACAGAAATCAGTGCCATCATAACAGTTATCTTAATAATGACTGAAATTCTACCTATTCTTACTCATTAGAAGTTAGTCACTGGCTCCAGCCAACACTCAAGAGGAGAGAGTCAGGCAGAGATGTAAACACTAAGATGTAGAAACCCATTATTTGAGGGGCATTTTAGAACTTGCCTACCCTAGTTACAAAGCCATTTGTCTGTGGGCTGGAGACACAGCAGAGTGTGTAAGATGCTTGCTAGCACACAACCAACCCAGGTTCAATCTCTGGCACCCCATATGGCCCCTCGAGACTTGCCGGGAGTGATTGTGCAAAGCATTTACTTCAGAATTTACTTGTGCTTGCCGTTAACTGCAAAACCATAATACCCTCGGATTTTTAAACTGTGAACAACCTTGCCCAACATCCCTTAAAGTAACCATGATATTAGTCCTCATCTGATGATGCCCGTGCTCCATAGTGCCATTACTGTACTCGATGCCATGATGAAAGCATGCCCCCACCCTACTAATGTGTAATTCTCAGCATGAATCAAAAGGATGAATTCACAGAAAAGCCCTATGGAATAGTGTGAGGGACCACTAGTCTCAGATTATGTTCTCTGACCTCCTAGCTGTCTGAACTTAGCCCCCCTGTGAAGAAAATCTTGTTTTCACACCAGATCTCTGTCTCAGTGTGCTTGGTTAAGCAGACTTCTGATATAAAATTCCCTAAGTGCAGAGCCAGGAGCAAGTCCTGAATATGAAAGAGAGAGAGAGAGAGACAGAGAGAGAGAGAGAGAGAGAGAGAGAGAGAGAAAGGAAGGGAAAGGAAGGAAGGAAGGAAGGAAGGAAGGAAGGAAGGAAGGAAGGAAGGAAGGAAGGAAGGAAGGAAGGTCTTATGTCTCTGTGTGCTCTCTCCTGTAGTAGTAATTGATACTGGCATGAGGGAAGAGCCTTTCTTAGTTGGACACTCTGCCACAAAGGTCCTCAGATGTCCACACGAAAGGAGTCATTGTCGTCTTCACAAAGGTGCCTCCCAGGCTCTTTTGCCTACCTATGTTCTATAAGGCAGATGGGGAAGATACAGTGTGGAGGGTCACATTTGAGCTTTTTTAGGGACATGGATCATACCCACTCACATTCCTTTGGGCAGATCATTCCCCACCAAGATGCAGTGAAGTTAGGGTACCATACTCCTGGTAGGGCAGCAACATCCCATGGGCAGCTCTGCACTATTGAAATGTGACTCTAGGTTAAAGAAGTAGCCAGCCCTTCTCCAGAGACTGCACTGACCAGTGCCCTCACGTATATACCATCTCATTTGCTATGTGGCTGTCGGCCTGGTTATCTTTGTTTTATAGACAGGAAATCACACTGTCATATCTTATAGAACATCATCCTTTTCTGCCACACAACCCATATGGCCACGGAAAAGTTACTTAACCTTGGTATGTCTTAATTTTCTCCTATGTAATGGGTCAAAAGTACTGACTCAGTAATGACAGAAACTTCATATGCTGCATGTAGTTTACGTAACTTTGTCTGGCTTTTTTTTTTTGCCATACCCAGCAATTATTAGTTATGAGGAAGATGATCATAGTGTTGCTCCTGGAGTTGAAGAAGCTGAGGTGGGCCCAAAGAAGTTACAAGATTTATCCCAAGGTGAATAGCTCTGACACTGAAGAACTGACATGAATAGCCGGAGATTTTAGGTAGCAAGTACACTACCGTTTGAGTTTTTGCTTTTCAAACAGGTTGCTTCTCAGGTACCTGTACAAAACAGTAGCAAGTAAGCCTTGAGCCAAAAACTCAGTGCTCAGAATCCCTTGGAGGACCCAATATCCTAGGGAAATTATCACTGCATCACCTTTGAAGCCAATTATTCCTGTCTAACTTGTTCTTTACATTTTTGTGTGAATCCTGCTGACTGGTGTCTTCTTTTTATGTGCATATTAGGTCCTCTAAGGCCTATATTTCAAGATCTTTGTTTATAAATAGGTTCTATCTTGCTAACTAGATAAAAGCACAGGATGAGATATTTCATTATGTTTCTGAATTTTATCACATTTCTCCTAAGGGCTTATTCATTTTGGTGGAACAGTAAAAGTAGTTTCCCTTTTAAATAGTTGCTGAAGCACACCTTTGGATGAGGTGACAGCTGGGAAATGAAATCACCATTGGATATCATCAGAGTGTCAATGTCAACTTCATCTTCAGGGTTTCTTAACCTTCTATTGAATGGAGTGAGGAGAATACAGAATTCGACATATTGAATACTGTTAGTGTTTCAGAGTTCTGTATTTATTGCCATGGTGGATGGATTTTCTGAAGTTCTGGTATAAGGGTTCAACTCAAACTCCTGTATCCTGAATGTTCTAGGGCAGGAGAGATAGTACAGAAATTAAGGTGCTTACCTTACACATGGTCTATCAAGGTTAAATCCTGGACCCTGCATTTGGTTCCTTGAACACTACCAAGAGTGATCCCTGAGCACAAAGCCCTAAGTAAACCCTAACTGCCACTGGGTGTGGCCCAAAGACAAGACAAAAGGAAACAAAAAAGATCATTATGTTAATTGACTTCTAGGGCTGATAAGAGAGTTTCTGGTTGCAGAGTACTTGGCCTTCCATGTGTGAAGCCCTGAGTTAGATATTTGGATATCCCTAAGTTCCTCAACACCTCAAACAAGATACAGCCTTAGTGAATGTCCTTTGGTTTGGCTTGGTTTGGTTTGGTTTGGTTTGGTTTGGTTTGGTTTGGTTTGATTTGGTTTGGTTTGATTTTGCTTTTGGACACACCCAGCAGTGTTCAGGGCTTACTCCAGGCTCTGCTCTCAGGGATCACTCACAGGGTTCAGGGAAACATAGAAGATGCCAGGGGTCAAACCCAGGTCGGCTGTGTGAAAGGCAAGCTCCCTACCTGCTATGCTATTGCTGTGGCCCCTGACCTTGGTGATCCTTGAGTACATTTTTCTTCTGTAGGTGAGGCCCCTGACTTAGGAGGCAGAGGAGAGATAGCTGACTTTGGCACATGATAAAAGTAAATTAATTTCACTTTATCAGCAGAAATTTCAACTATTATCAGTTTAAAAAATCTTCATAGACTTTATGTTCACAACTTTTAAGTTCTATCATTTTTTCTACATAGACTAATATTTAAATTGATCCTTTTTATATAATCTTTACTGTCTGTGGCTTTGATTAGAACCTTATAATTAATCCATTTCTTTGTGAGAAATTATAGATGGTTAATCCTATGCTTCTCATACATTATTCCCAGTATTCCATGTTATCTCAATTACTATGCTCTTACTCATTTTCTTTAAAAAGTCTCTATTTTTAGATTTTGTATTCAGACTATTCAATAAAAGGGAAAAAAACTCCATTTTTTGGAGGACTGTCTCCTTTCAAAATCATTGGATAATGGCTGCTTATCTTCCTTTGTGCATAATTTCTACGAATGCCCTGAATACCATTTTTAAATGCAAAAGAAAGTATATTTGTTTTATAGTTTATTATCTCTGTAACATCAGATATTTGAGGTTAGAAGATAAAAATATATTTGTCATCCAGGTGTAATAAGGTATCCATCTCTGGTTTATAAAAGTTGAAACTGTGTTGTTACTGAATTACGTTAATGAAATGCAGCACTCCCTGATTTTAGGTTTATGACCCTTACCTTGGTACCTCTACTTTCATTGCCTGTCTGTCATCCCCCCTTCCAGGAACCAACGTAAAGGAGGCCCAGAACATCCTCAGTAACAGCGGGCTCCCGATTACTTCAGCCGTCGACCTAGAGGATGCTGCAAAGAAGGCTGTGGCCAGCGTAGCTAAGAAGTGATGATGCCGTTGTCTTCATCTCTTGGAGGAAGAGTCCCATTTTCCCTCTAAAAGAATGATTCTCTCGTTGTAAAGAAAATGTTTGTTTCACTAAGGAAAAGGATGGGAAATAATAAGCAAGAATCACTGTGGAAAAAAATCTTAAATGGAGTTTTCTTAAATAAGATATTTAGACAACATAACTAATCTGATTTGACTTATATTCTTTACTTATGCCCCGTTCTGCCGGCATTTGTAACAATTTGGGGTCACAGTCTAAGTGGCCATATAGTGTGCAAATGTACAGAACTTTAGACCAGGCACTTTTTCCCAATAATTGTTGTGTACTTTTAGTACTATATGATTGGTTTTTTTTAATTACAGTGTATAATAACTCAGTCAAGGTTGCATAGAATGGTTTGATTGTCACAAAGATGAATCTCAGGTATTCAAGAATTTATCTCTTATAAACTGCCACTGTTTTATAAGTTTCTATTCCAAGATGTTTGGGAAACCCATGAAAATTCTAAAATATAACTAGCAATGGAATGTTCATATTAATATCCCATACACGCTTTCTACCCTTTGCCTTAAAATGGTAATTTGCTTTCTACTGTTTACTTCACATTGAAAATAAACCAGAAGCCTTATCTGTGATTATGGAATACAGATCTTTTTCAACTGACAATTGTATTATGTCCCTTGCAACTAAGTACAGTACATTGTAGAGTTTTATTTATTTACTCTCATTATTATATGGCTCACTGGGAGCTTCAGCCACTGACTTCCTCTGCCCAACATCACAAGAATATAATACTGCCCCAGAAAAAAATAAAAATGTTAAAGCTTGATATCAGGTTTCTACTGGATGTCTGTGTAGCTCTTTTATAGCATCAAAGACAAAAGAAAAAAAAATAGTCAAACCTTTATAATTCAGTGAAGTTGATAAAATGTTCTATTTTAATGTAAAAATTAAGGACTGCTAAGTCTTAGGGAAATTTTTGAAATTCAGTCATTTCACCATGAGGCAACTTTAAAGGTCAAATTATTCAGTGAATGTCGGTATCTTCTTTAGTCCTCCACGCCATTGAGAATCTACAAGCAGGAAAAAAATGTAATGGAGTTATAAACATGACTCCTTTTCTATAGGCCAATTTTTGGTGGAGAAGAATGTGAATTAAAATGTTTATAAATTTTGGTAAATTTTTATTTCTATACAAATTTAAATAAAAATTATATTTTACCAGTTCTAATACCTGTATATTCTAGCTTATTTGGGTCAGTTTTACTTCACACATCATTTTCTTCTTAGGCAGAAAGACACATGCCTTTAATGTCTTGGGCAGGTCTCCAAAATTAGAAAATTTGAGCTATGCCAAAATTATTTTTATTCTACTCAACTTTATCAGCACCCATCATTTCTGTTAGAAAATTATTTAGTGAAAAGCTTAAAGTCATCTACAAACCCAAAGCCAAGGTAAGTCACTGTCACCATTCTCCCATTGTTCATCGATTTGCTCGAGCGGGCCCAGTAACGTCTCCATTGTGACACTTGTTACTGTATTTGGCATATTGAATACGTCACAGGGAGCTTTGCCGTGCGCACGAGATACTCTCGATAGCTTGCCAGGCTCTACAAGAGGGGTGGAAGAATCGAACTCGGGTCAGCCGTGTCAGCTGTATGCAAGGCAAACGTCCTACCCGCTGTGCTATCACTCCAGCCCACCAAGGTAAGTATTGCAGGTATACAATAAGTTCAAATATAATTTGGATTCTCCTAAACTAAGTGAAAAAATATTGGCATAAACTCTTCCTGTTTAATTATGTTCCATTGTTAGTCTGTTCCTCTACTACATATGTGTAAGATCATACTTTTTTTTTTTTTTTTATGTTGTTCTAAAAAATTTAACATTGGAACAAGTTTAAAAGTCATTATTTTATAGATTGAAGTTTGTCATAGAGAAATAAACCATTTGGCAGGTCAGCCAGTTTCCTTTATCAACTGTTAGTGAATAAAAAAATTAGTTCTTCAAGTTGTTTTGTTTTTAATAGCTTAATAGCTAATATGGCAAAATGAATAATAGTTTATTAGTTGGACATAAAATACTTGAATTTTTTGCCCTTTATGAATGTCTGTGTTTGCACATATGCATACATATATATGTATCTTCCCTCCCGTTGATCGTCGATTTGCTCGAGCGGGCCCAGTAACGTCTCCATTGGAGACTTTGTTGTTACTGTGTCTGGCATATCGAATACTCTCGGTAGCTTGCCGGGCTCTCCGAGAGGGGCGGAGGAATCGAACTCGGGTCGGCCATGTTGGCCGCTTGTAAGGCGGATGCCCTACCCGCTGTGCTATCGCTCCAGCCCTGCACTGTCCTCCCATTGTTCATTGATTTGCTCGGGTGGGCATCAGTAACATCTCACAACAAATTGTGAGATTTGTTGTTACTGTTTTTGGCATATTGAATACGTCACGGGGAGCTTGCCAGGCTTTGCCGTGCAGGCGAGATACTCTCGGTAGCTTGCCAGGCTCTCCAAGAGGGGCGGAGGAATCGAACCAAGGTCGGCCACGTACAAGGCAAACACCCTACCAGCTGTGCCATCGCTCCAGCCTATATATATACACATTATATTTATATATTCTAATCATTTTCTAATATATATATATTCTAATCACACCCACCAACTGGCCCCCTGGCACCGTGTAATCCCATCAACGGCCAAGACCCAGAGACTATAAAACCCAGCTCCCAGAAGCGCGCGGCCGCGAATGTGGCCTTATTATCTTATTCTTATTATCTTATCTTATTATCTTATTCTTACTTTGGACAACCTGGCAGGCTATTGAATGTAACCTGCTCACATGGCAGAGTTTGGCAAACTCCCTGTGACGTACCCAATATGCCAAATACCAGTGACAATGATGGGTCTCATTCTCCTAACCCTGAAAGAGCCTTGAATATGGCACTGTTTCAAATCTCAGGGCTAGGATGAAGGAGACATTACCGGGGCTTGCTCGAGGCAATCGAACAACAGGATGATCGTGATCATGAATCATTTTAAATAAGATAAAGGAATTAAATAATTTGTGATTGCTTTGTGAAAATGTCAATTGTAAGCTGACTTTATTACAGTGATTGAGTGATTGTCAGATCAAGCTTAATTTTTTCTTCAAAAATTCAAGTGTTTGAGATTAAACATAAATTCACATGGTACCCTGATGCTGATAAATACTTTTATAATGATTGAATGTTTCTAGATCCAGTTAGGTTGTTTGATAGTTTGGAGTAAGCTCCTAAGTAGAGTCAAAAGCAATTTGTGTTGGTGGCAGATCTGAACTTCTCTCTGTATTACCTACTGCATAGTTTATGCACCTAGCAGAAATATTTCCAGCAACTTCAACTCTTTGTCTCACTAATACTGCAGTTATATATCTCTTGAGAATGTTTAAGCTACTGAGTGTATATGACTGTATTCCCATTGGAATGTTATATAGCTTAGGTATGCATACTATCTAGATTTTTACATTTATTTTGCATGATATATGTTCAGTAATCAAATCACCTAATGATGTGTTTCTCTAAATAGATGATACCTGTCTTTAACTACACATGAGTGTGTAGATAAAGATGAAATAGTTTTCTTTACATTTTACCAATACACTGTAAAATGGATACTATATTAAGCAAGAATGCCCATAAATGATGTAACTTAAATGGTATTAAGTATCCAAGTTGCTTACAGAGTAGCACAGTTAGCCCTTTATATCCACAGATTCCTCAGTTGGGTATTCAAATAACTTAAGATTTTTAAAAATATTTATATACTATTTAATAAGGCCTACAAAGTGGTGTCTGCAATGAACTTGTGCAGATTTATTTCTCTTGACATTTTCTAAAGAGTAGGATATAGCAGCTACACATGTAGCATTTACATTATATTAGGTATTATATGTAACCTGAAGATGATTTAAAGAGAGTGGGGAAATAAGTATAAATTAAATGCAAACACTGAATTGTTTTTAAGAGATTTGAGTATACCTAGATTTTGGTATCTTTGGGAATCTTGAAACTAGTCCTCCATGGATATCAGGAATAACTGTAAACCTTCTCCTGCTTTGCACAATATTTTAAAAAACTTGCTAGTCTGCCATGCCTGTCCCTAGAACAAGCAAGCAGTTTACAAAAGATAAAATACTAACCCTCCCACTTCTTTGAGTTCATTAGCCGATTGTACTTGTCCAAACTCTTAAAATCTCAAAAACTCAATATTAATTAAAAAGAGGAAGAATAGTCTTATTCTTGTTATTGTCAAAGGCAGCAGGTTTCTGGTTAAAGAAAAAGATAAAGAGATTCAAAGCATTCAGAAATTAAACTCAGCATCCTAGATGAGCATTTTAGTTTAAATTCTCAGACAGTCCATTTCTCTAAAGTGGCTCAGTGACTACTGGCCTTTGCAGGTATGTAATCTGAAATGTAGCATCCCTAAAAGATAAAGGCAGAATGTAAAGATAAAGGATATTTAAAGAAATGGAAGTTGGATGAAGGAAGAAGGAAACTTTCTTGGTAATTCTAAGAAACACCAGAATTCAGATAACCAGTAATGAGCCATGAATCTACCTTTAAACCATTCACAGTTCCACAGTTTACAAAGCTCTAATAGCACAATCAGAAAAAAGGTAGTCACTCTCTATATTTGCTTGAAGAAAACAGCATCACTCAAACTGAGTGATGCTGAGAACAGAGAAGGGGAAAAGCAAATTCTCTTAGGAAAATTGGAGTTCTAATAATGGTATGTGGGAAGAAAATATAAGGAGAAAACATCTCCAATAAGTTGAGAATCATTGGAGTAGAATTCATTTTCCATATGGTGCTGGCAAATCTGAAGTTTCATAATTCTATCCTATAAATGCCTTACGTTATTTGGAGTCATTTTCATTTGTACATATCAGTTCCCAGCTATTTTGTTTTCATGGTGACTTCAAATATTTCATCAAATTTTATTCTGATTTTCCATAATATTTTGGATAATAGTTTCATGCCTCTCTTTGAGTAGAAACCATGTTGTACCTACCACCAAAGACCTCAGGCTATGGCACAATCAGAATGTCCCCTCTGTCCTTTACTCCCATTCCATGTCACTGTTCCCATGGTAATCACCAGACAGTTTTAGCCTGAGTTATTATTTACTGTGTTTCTTCCATTCATTTTCATTATATTCCAGACTCAGTGAAGCCATTCATTCATTGTCCATTATATTCTTTTATTATTTAGCATAATAATCTCACATTCTATCCATATTGATGCAGAAAGCACGATACTTGATTATTTTCATATTTATGGAACTGAAGCAATAGCACAGTGGGTAGGGCGTTTGCTTTGCATGCGGCCGACCCAAGTTCGATTCCTCTGTTCCTCTCGGAGAATCAGGCAAGCTTCCGAGAGTACTCTGTTCGCACAGCAGAGCCTGGCAAGCTTCCCGTGGAGGATCCAATGTGCCAAAAACAGTCACATATCTCACAATGGGGACATTACTGGTGCCCGGCTGAGCAAATTGATAAACAACAGGGGGACAGTGCTACAGTGCTATATGGAACCACAACTTTTTTTATTTAGTCATCCACCAGTTGACTTTTAGGTTGATTACAGATTTTGGCTGTTATACTACTGTGAACATAATGATGTGGGTATCCTTTTGATTTATTGTTCTTATATTCTCCAGATAAATGCCTAAGTGAAGCTAGATTATACTTAAAATGTGTTGCAAGTAATCTCATTTTTTATTTTCAGAAATGCTGCTACAATTTATATTCTGACCAACAGATTACAAGATTTCCTTTTCTTCCACACACCAACATTTGCTGTTTCAATTCTTTTTAATGTATCCCTTCTCTATGTTAAACTATTAATTATTTCATATACTACAAACTAACTATATTATATACTATACATAACCATATTATATAGCAGTGTAGCAATGTCCTCCCATTGTTCATCAATTTGCTCGAGTGAGCACCAGTAACGTCTCCATTATGAAACTTGTTGTTACTGTTTTGGCACATAGAATACATCACGGGTAGCTTGCCAGGCTTTGCTATGTGGCCGGGATACTCTCAGTAGCTTGTTGGGCTTTACGAGAGGGGCAGAGGAATCGAACCCAGGTCGGCCACATGCAAGGCAAATGCCCTACACATTCTGCTATCATTCCAGCCCTAACCATATTATATATGCTAATTAATTATTTATACTATAC